GACCCTACCTTCAACTTTCTTGTCTTCTCCTATTATTCGTGCAATTGGGCAACCAAAAGACAGCAACCGATACTGGCGCATGAAAGTGCATGGTTAATGGTTGTTCAAACTGAAACTGAACTGAGACAATGGACGGGGTTTATAGCATAGAATTCAAGGCAAACCTATTGAAGCCTGGGTTTTCACCCGTTTTCTCGGTTGTGGCAAAGGGATATTTGGTGACCAATTAATGAGATAATAGAGATTAGCTCGAGAGTATCAGTGACACGGTAAATCAGGAGTCACTGCAACGGATAAAAGCCCATGACAAAGAAGAGAGGGAGGCTTAGATATCAGTCGTGGGTTGAGCTTGCGATCGGAAATCGAATGTGATGCGTAAATTACCAATGGTCTGAATGCTTTGAATTTAAATCCGGCAAAGCTAAAATACACTAAACGATACTGTTCTACCTACCGGCATGATTGTGGTATATCAGGGACGAGCGTTTCTTTGGAGGATAAAAGAGCAATTGCACAAAAACACATCCATTTTGCTCAAGAAAATAATTAAGGTTCAAGGACCGGAGGGGAAAATTATAATTATAATTATATTATTCTCACTGAAGATGGAGCTTGTTCACGGGTACTGAAAACGGCGCAGATGTGAAAAAGCGTGCTGTCTTGAAGCGATGGATATCATAGAAGTTTCCGTCTGATGCAATAGCGCTCATTTTGGAGTCAACTGAGTCATAACGCATCAGGTATCCGTATTGTCAATCTGACCACAGACAGATGAATCATCCTAGATGCACACTTCGGTGTTTGACACAGTTAAAGAATCGAAACATCCGCCAAGACAACATTTGGTTCCACTGACCTTGTGTGCAACACACAATTTAATGAAGCAAAAAGATTGATTGCATAAAATATGGTCACGGAGTGTACCCATTGAACTTAGAGCAATTTATGCACAGATTTTGTTGTTCATTTGCCGTATCTAATTGCTTTTTTCAGCAACCTTCCTCGGCTCATGTCGCCAAATAGATTGGCATAACATATGCATGGTCACTGGTTGTAACAGCTGAATTGAACTGAATTTTTCTTACTGAAACATAATGGAAATCTTTGTTCTATTTTTAATTCTAAATCCACTCACTGTTTTCTCGTCACATGTTTGATTAGAGATGGGACTTGTAAAATGGAGGTGCCAGATTGCTGCGTACAGGGACAGCAAAATGACCGTGGATGCAAATCCCCTTTGATAGTTACGATGCATGAACAAATAAACAGGAATGACTTCTCCGCCATCACCATCAACACAATGTGACACGATGAAGGAATTTAAGTGTCTTTGATCATAGTTGCCTGTCAAATCTATGCTTTGATCGCACGTGACTGGCATAGCAAACGAGAGCCGCGAATTTTCGAATACAGTGGAATGTTCCTGGTCCACCACGAGTCGCATGAACCTAACCAAGCAACCATATTGACTATCAAATGAAGCTTGTTTTCGATAAGGCTGATATATAGGGTTCAAAATAGTCAAACTACATAGTGATGGTCTGCAATGATGAATATGGTTGATTGTGATCTTGGGATTTCGGAAATGAAAGGTCAGTTTTATTTTTGTTGTTGTTTCTGTGTGGTTTGGAAATGTACGCAATCGCTGTATAGAGTAAGCTGTTCCATTTCTGGTCTGCGCCACTGGGCCATGTCAGAGTTCACGGGCGTTTTAGTAGGTTGTGTCAGTTTGAGGCCAGGGTAAGCAAAGTGACTGAATGAATCGCTTTTGAGAAAAAAATGATGGATTGCGTAGATGAATAGCCACCGCTTCAGCTGTAATAAGGTGCCTTTGACAAACAGCTCTGGACGAGTTTGCAGGTTGGTACCTTGTAGATCAACTTGAATGCTTCCTCGTTCACTTGATGACCCGTGTCTGAAAGGTGTTCCATCACTTCACTTGTAATCGTTTTCCGTATGCCCGTACTCAACCAGTCTGGTTTGTGCTCTTTGATTCTTTGCGACAATTGCCTGATCATTCTTACTACATAACTTACTGAATATGAGCGAAGAACACGGTGAATGATCAAATATAAGGAGAGGATAAGCAGTATATGTTGGAAATTTACGGAAACCACTCATCGGCTTAGTATGTAGCGTTGCAACAGGGGCGTAGACCAGAAATGGAACAGCTCACTTTATTCATCAACTTCGATCTTTAAAAACACCACACAACAACAAACTCTGCCCTTTCATTTCCAGACCACATACCACAAGATCACAATCAACCAATCACATTTATCACATCAGACCATTTGACTAGTTGAACTGTATTAGCCCGAGGAAGAATTTAGCGAAAAAAGTTTTGTTCAATACAATGTTTTCTTAATGTCACAGTGGTAATATTCGATAAATTATCTAGCTGTCAAAGATGGGTAGCACTATATCGTGTATATTCAAAATGAGAAACGGTTTGATCAGTCGTCCTGAACCCGAGTGGATAGAATGCTTGCGTTCTCCTTGTAAGGTATCCGCTTCGCCATCTCCAGTTGGGTCGATAGATTTGCACTGCACTGATGAGACCTAAATAGGTTGAAACAGCTGTTCAGTGCTTCCCGGCTTTTCAGCTGACGACAAATTCATCACATAAACAAATCCAATCCTCCACTACTCTTATACAGCGAATTATGAACTAGTTTTCAATCCGTCTCCCTGGACGAACAGTTTCGTGCAAACAATGCGTATCCGTTTATGGAGATTCATACGTGATTTTCAAACAGGACACGAGATCGACTACCTGTGAATTGTACTAATTCTTTGTTTACTTTTAATCGTGTAACTATTGCTTCATACCGGGATCACAGTTACAGTGTGCACCAAAGATGTTCACTACCACTTTCCCGTATCACTTGCCAACGAAACGGAAATAATATGCGACCACGTACCCCCAGTTTACTGATAGAGAAGACCAAAGCCGTTTGTTTTATAATCTACGCACATGTACATCAAGAGATAGATCCACACGGCCTGTCTAACACATTTAGCTTTTCTCAACTCGGTTCAATCGATCAGTCTCACATCCTCAGCGACATGCAGTGACCCACCCACACATGCTCACAGAAAAGGAGGACATGCTCAGACTTGTCATACCAACTGCCGGATCATTTTCCTGTATGCTTTTAGTACATTCACGGGGCAAGCAAGCATGTTTCACAGTGCGCTTGCCATGCGCTTACGATCACTGGTAAACAGTGTCAGAACTATGATAGTCTTTTGTACTACCTTTGCGATCACAGTTTATTGTACATCATCAACTGTAATGATTGTACTCAGCAAGTAGAAAGAAACTCGGGTGACCCAAATCAATGGACCACTTGTAAACAAAATATGAGCATTGCGGCTGTGAACACGTATGCAGTTTCATGCTAAACGGCTTTGATTGCTAGGAACTAAAGTAGTATGTGAATAAAAGTTCACTGTTACCGGATACTTTCGAGCGGTAGAAAGTTGCTGTTTCTGATCGCAAACGGTAGACTTAAACCAGGCCATAATTCCTGACAGGGCATTCTGGAGGCACAGTATGGCCTTGTAGGAGACGTAACAAAGCGACATCCTATACTCTTTGCTGAAGATTTTTAATTCCTTGCGAGACATATCACATCACTACTTCTCCTCCGTCTCAGAAATAGTATTCAGTGAATACTCTTTTAGATGTAAACATACGCATTCAGATTAGTGCAGTTCAGTTCACTTTCCATAGTAGTTCACCCCGAACTCTCGTGTGACAATTTTGGCTGTTTGCTTTCGGCTTCCGCTTTGAATGAGTGACTGTAAAAAACAACGCGAGAACTCTAAGCAGTGCGAGGATAAAGGATATAGCACAATTGAGCTAAACTTACCTTGACGTTTAATTGTTTGGGAAGGTTTCATTTTATACGGCAAATCTTCTGCAAGTTTCACTGTATGGTATAAAGACATGTCCTGTATGGATGGAGACGAGATAAAGACATCCCACGATTGTTCAAATACCGCTGTCTACGCTGAATCACTCAAATCTGGACAAGTAATGGCGAGATTAAGTGAACAATTTAAGGTGCTCGAGATTGTACCATGAAAAAGTTGCTTGATTTCAAACCAAGCCAAAAATAGGCCTTCTTTTTCTGGCAGAGTTTACCCTCTCCATTTTGTATCGAGCTCAGCTGGGCACCGTGGACGTTTAACCTCGTCAAACGGGCATATGATCCGATAAAGTGAATGACGGCTCCCAATCGAGATTGCGATTTTCATACAGTGTCCGGCTGCCATGCAGGTCAGGATTTGGCTGACCGAAGGCTCTGATAGAGAAGTTCCGAAGAAAATTCACGTGCCTTGGCCGGGGAGAAACCTATCATAAACTGCACCCGCGAGCAAACGATAGAACTTACCTTGATCTTCATAGATTAAGTTGATCAAGGAAACTGAACGTATGGATGGTGTTGGGTTTCCCAGATGTGAATCTCTGGAACGATTGAATTGCGGGTTAGAGACGCGTTAATTTCATCGAGAGCGCTTATCAAAATCCACCGAAATGTGTTGTTAGGTCTGTTTTCTTGTCTGGCTGTGAAAGAGAATAAATGAACATGGAGACCCATATTCACGCATAAAAAGACTGACGGCTTATGGCTAAATAGAACGGTTGAGCACACTTAAAAGTAGCGTTTATGCTCACTCACCGAAAGTTCTGAATTTGCTCATTCTTTGACTCTCGAAGCCTCAATAAACACTGGGCTGATTGTGATGCAAGTTCTTTTGTTTTAACGGCTTTAATGATGTAATTGTTACTTATATTGACAATTCACATAATGTATGTGTGTGTGTGTGTGTTGAAATAAGACACGAAAAACCGCAAAATGAGAACTGACTTATTTCGATTTTCCCAGGTTCATGTGAAATTCACTTTTATATTTGAAAATGTTTACATCTTCCAACTGTGTAAACTTCATCGGTTGAAATTAGTAAAATGTTCTGGATGTTACTTTGAATTATTGCTTGATGTAGTGGTCTTAGTTAGAGAATTTTTCAGCAGCTTTTTGTATGCAAGCTCGTTGATGTTCACAGTATTTTGATCAACAGAGTAATATGTATTGCAGACTATAAGCTTGAATGATAAAAAATTAGAATTATACATACATCTACACTATGCATCATTCTCAACCTATTCAGTTTTTTTATCGAATACATACTGAAACTTCGTATAAGGGTTCGCAAATCGGAATGATACCATTTGAAGTTTGATACAAAACAGAGACCGCTGATTGTCACAGATAGATTCGCTTTGATGGATGTCAAGCGGGTGATGAACTCACGAATAGGACCAAGAAATCACCATCCATCGATCGTAGAGACAGAGAGAGAGAGAGATTCACCGGCATAGTCTGAGGTCGTTTTTCTTGGGTCAGCTGATTATGGCGTGTATGCAATCTTCTTCTCCTCGTGTCAACTGATTACAGTGCAATCGATCGATTGATCATCGACGGGCACACTGAAAAAGTTCACTTACCCTACCTTTGTTTTACATTTCATTGACTGTCAAGCTTCCGAGCTATGTCAGGGGGCGAGGCAGGGCGACAGATTCCTATGTGCACATAAAATTGCGTTTGCTCTCATTTGTTCATGCTCATAGCTCTTCTTTTTTGTCCTCATTGAAAGTGTGTACCACGGCAGCCCGTTGAACTAACTAACTGCTACATTGACCTGCTAAAGTCGATTCTCTGATGAGATGGAAAAATTAGTATGTCAATAACAGTCCAGCATGTGCATGAAGTTTAACCGAACCCGATGAAAACTGACTAGACATGGTGTCAATCATCACATATCTGATTTGGAGCGTCTTCTTGGGTTTACAATGTTGGTGAGGGGGGGGGGGACGCAAATTGTAAACTCGTTTGAGTAATAGTAGTTTCATCGATTGGAAACCATCACAAATCTGGCTGAAAATGTTTATTGTAAAATAATTGAAAAAAAACCCACAGATTATCATGACTGAGACCACTATTATAACCTAAAGGTTATCACAACAGGCCTATCACATTTATCATTGTATTATTTGAAAAAATCTGCTAAACATTATCAGGCTATAATTTGATTTTCAGTTTTAAAAACCGTTTACCATGCACTTTTGTGCGCCGATTTGGGCAGCTTTCTTTTAGCTGCCAATTTGGATAAAGCAGTAGGAGAAAGACAGGAAAGTAGAATTCGTAGAGCAGAAAAGCAAAAGGAGAATTTCGGTGGAATAAGGTTACAAAGAAATTTAGAAAATACACGAAATCTGCATTTCCCTGAAGAATGTTTGATAAATTTATTTCAATAATACGATCCCGTTACACTAATAGTCGGGTCCGAGCTCATGGTATTTGTCTAGTTCTTCCTCTCAATCCCGAATAATATCTGATAGTGCTCATCATTGAGCCTTGTAAGACTGAGAGAGCAAATTAAAAAAAAGATTCCAAGTAAAAACAATTTATTATCGCCTTCATCATAGTTGCTCTCATCATTATCGGAGTCATTAGTTGGGATCAACTGAGCTTTGCAGTTCACCGCTAAGCTGAATATGCATGCTACTCGAATATAATTACCTGACATGGTTACATACGAGTTTCCTTGTAGGTGGGTATTGGTTCGATGGAATAAATTTCCAGACCAATTCTGTTTATTTTCAGTACAAGGAAAATGTCTTAGTTCTCTATGGCAGTTCAACGGGATACCAAAAATTAGTTAAAATAAAACCCAAATGGGGTGATGCTCAAGAGAGGCATCTCGGTACTTGTCTATATTCGCCTAAATTGCTTCCAGTAGGTCTTCTTCTAGACAAAATGCACATTTTTGTCTGACCATGCAAGTAGTCACAAAGCTCTCGGTCCAGTGCATTGATCAGATTCCTCATGACTTTTAATAGACTAAAAACCGGTCAAATCTATGTCTTCCTCGTAAACCACTGGTCTAGGCACTACATCCGTCAAAATAATCTGTGTGGGACTTGAGCAATACGTGTATCCGGCTAGCAAGAGAAATAGCTTTAGTTGTTAGGGTCACTTTAAGACACTTCCGGTATCGATATATTAGTAGTAATAAGAGTAGCAACAATGGAATTTCCTGTTTTATCGTCCTGAACTCATTTAGTCAGTCTATCCATATTACCCTGCGTTTCATATTGAACCTTCTTCCAGTTATTCTAAATCCCGGAAAACATCGTTTCATCACAAATTTCAAAGTGCATCTTTTTTCGTAAAGCGAATCCACTTTCAAATTTTTTTGTAATTTCAACGGAGAGTTGTTGAATCGATGATGTACTCATTTTCTATTTGGTTTTTGCTTGCTATTATATAGTGTCCCATATATTGAGACCAGTGCTGCAACTGGGTCGAATGTGTCCACTGCAGTCGATCGTTTACTGGATGCTGTGATGAAAAAAGTCGAGGCATCCGTCACACGACCGCGTGTGTTTGGTCCCGGAGTGGATACGGTCAGTTTGAATAAAGAACCGGAGAAATCCAAATGCGCCTGCTAAGACAACCGACCAGCATTGGACGAGATTCCAAAATTTTCAAATCGTGCGAAGTCCAAAGCGCGATATTTCTGACTCACTTTTAGTAAGTGATTCCTGTGGTTAGTTCGTGAAAACGCGCATCATTTCTAACAGTAAGCAAAGTGGCTTTGAACATTGCTTTAGAAATGATTAACTCAATTATACGGTTGTGCTTAATGTCCGGGATATCAGTGTATTACCAAGTTTGAAACATCCTGTCTGAATTCTCTATTTTTAACTCGTCTATTCACAAGTCAATCTTCATTCTGCTTTTTTATCCAAATAGGAGACCAAAAGACACCAACCGGCGCATGAAATTGCATGTTTAATGGTTTTAAAAACTGAAAACTGACATTAGAAACATTGCAATTCACACAAACTGTCATTCGATTTGCGATCTCTTTATATTCACACCAAAAGCCGATTTCGAGTTTACCGCACTTTTCTCCCAAGTTCACTACTAAAAGTGATGTTTGTCGAGATTTCCCTCTCTCCATCCCTTTCTCCTTTTCAAGTTGACGTTGTTATAGATTTAATTCTTGGAACAACCTTATCCTCGTGCGAGG